GGCTGAGGGGAGACCTCATCGCCCTCTACAGCTGCCTGAAAGGAGGCTGCAGAGAGCTGGGGATGAGTGATAGTACAAGAGGTAATGACCTCGGGTTGCACCAGGGAAGGTTTAGACTCGATATTAGGAAGCATTTCTTTTCAGAACGGGTTGTCAGGCGTTGGAATGGGCTGCCCTAAGAAGCGGTGGAATCCCCATCCCTGGAGGTGTTTAAGAGTTGGGCTGACATAGCACTTAGGGATATGGTGTAGTTGGAACTGTCAGTGGTAGGTTAACCCAGATGATTCTGTGAATATCCAAGACACCTTCATCATTGTACGGCTGTAACCAGGAAAAGAGGAACTGTTTTCAGTGTTAAGACACTTAAACACAAATTAACCACATTTTGCTTAGTTCTAACAATGTCCTGGTGTTCAACAACAATCTGCTACAATTCCAGTGGGGCCGTAACTAATTCCACCAGAGTCTCTGGAGTAAACTTAACTTTGGGCTCTTACTTGTTGTCTGTATCGTGATGTCCATATGTGAAAAAAATACACTCTTTCCTGACTGCGATGCATTCAGCTGCCTGTTTTGAGAATGATGACTTTCCATTGTAGAGGTGGCCTGGATTTGTTCCTGCAGTAGAGGCAATAATGGATGTCGAAAAAAAGGGAAAAAAAAAGCAGTGAAGAAGGGGAAAACATTGAGATGCAATGAAAGCAATATGCTGAGAAGGTTGGAGAGAGCTGTTTTGTTTCATAGCTTTAATTGTAAATCTGCAGGAGTGCTGGGTAAGTGTGAAAAACATGACCCACTGAGTTTGAGACTGAGCGGTAGCCTGTTTTGGGCCTGCTGTTTAAAAACTTGTAGGAAAACATTATATTGCGAGTTCCTCATATCTAATTCTGCAGTTAGGTGGGAGACCAGGAAAAGGGGATCAACAGCATGAAAAGATCCTCATCTTTTTGTCTTCTGTAGGCATAGTTGTTTGATCATGCCAGAGCTTTGAGACCAAATAGTCTGCAAATTGCTTTCTCATTTCAGATGTTTCCATTGCTACTAAACAAATAGCTTTATTTTAAAGCTTTTAAGTGATCCTCCCAAGCATTTTCCCTTCTTATCCTGTTTCTCTTCCTTCCTCCAGCATTTTCACTGTTTCTGCCATTCATCTAAATTTATTTTTTCTTTGATATTAATGAACTCAACTTCAGCAGCAGAGTTCACAGAAAACATCCCCTCCTTCTCTATGCAAGACATCACGTAAAAGTGGTTTAAGGGAAGGAAGGAGATAAAAAAATAAAATCTCCTTTGTAAATCAGGCCCTCTGGCCAAATTCAGCTGTGATACAGGGAGTAACACCTAGTCATCTCTTGGAAGGAACTGTGTGTCTGGAATTGACCTACCTTCTTTCTGAGATGTAAAAAAGATGTCTAAACTGAATTTAAATTCTTCCCGGGAGGAGCAGAATCCTGTGGAAATCCCATGGATGAGGAAGAACATGACAGACTATGTCAGAGTGAGGGTTTCTAATGGCTGAAGGGTTTCAACACTTGTGCTGGGTGCCCAGTTCCTCCTTGGCCGCTCATGTTCTTGTAATCAAGTTCCTCCATCTGCATGCCCATGTGTTTCTGCTCCCACTCATATTTCAATACTGTATTATGACAAACACTTGGAAAAAGATTGGGTGTGAGTGAGATGGTCTTATGTCTGGCTTGAATGCAACTGTTAGTTCTATTGTAACTACCATTATTTTCATTATCAATGTGCCTAAGAGACACCCAGTGTCCATATTTGTTTTATGTATGTTTAGATATTCACTTCAGTTTTCTTCTGATATTATTGTTTTTTTGACCACAGGATAATTTTCCAGTCCCTGATGAAAACAAGCAAAAAGTATCCCAGATTTGCATGGGCAGGTATTCATGTGGGAGCTAGAATTATGAGAAGAAAAAGAAAGAAGGAAGTGTCAGAAATCAGAGTAGGGAAACCTTTTCTAGTTTTGTCATTGTCTTGTGTTATGTTGTTTAAATTAACATTCACAGTGAACAGGCAGAGGTCCTTGAAGACAGGAGTGTGACAAACATTTATATCTGTAGGTAATAAGGTCATTTTCACTGAAACATCCCTCCCCTAGGTTTGGGCTGAATGCATCTGAGGCATGAAAGGAAACCGGCAGCATTTTCTGGAAATTCTTCACTGACTTAGATTTTTATTTTTTTTTAACTTTCTAGATGGTTGAATTATTCTAAATATTCTGTATAACTGATTTCTGAAATTGGGGGGGGGGGAAAGTGATCTCAGAACACTTTGTATATGCTTAAGATTTTTCTTCTTCCACTGCTAGAATTACTGCATGAAATCCAGATGGGTGATTCTGTTATATGAGACATCAAAATAAATAGTGTGAACAATCTCTTGCAGCTTTAAACATCTATGAATCAAAGTCTATTTGCTCTCTTCATTGTTATATTCCTACATCTCAATTAATGAGATCTCTGAACAACAGCCTGGGAGTAAGAGAATTTAATATAGTATATAAATTGAAAAAGTTGAAAGAAAAAAAAACTGAAAGGGAGAAAAAAGGGACTGTCTTAATCTCCTAGACTGTTAATGCATTTTCTCTCTAACTTCTTCAGGCATTTGTGTTGAGATCAGTTATGCTTCATTTTAAAGTGCAGGTTTCCTCATATTTTGCGTTTCTTTCTGGTTAACACTTTACCTTTTCTTGACTCGTTAACTATGTCCTGAGTGTCCTTCTTTTTTCATACTGTCATGAAAAGAATGGAGTGGACTGTTTGCTCATAAGATATTAACTCTAGAAATTAACTCAAGAATTTATCTGAGGGTGTACTGCAAGTTTAAGAACATAGCAAAAATCAACCTGGGCTCCTTCCTTGGATGTATAGGAGTAAACTAGAAGGAACAGCATCCCCATCAACTAGCAATAAGATGGAAAGGAAGATTGTAGGTGATTGATGTTGGGAACCACAGATATATGTCACGATGGCCACACATACTGGCTATATTTGGTGGTAGACAGGGTTTCCATTCTTTCCAGTTTAACTTAATATTTTGCTTTCATGTGCAAACATTCTGTAGAAACTCTCACTTCTAAAACTACATAATGTTGGCATGAAGGGCTCTGCCTGCCTGAGTGCTGTATCATTTTCTGTTACTCTTCTGTGTAAGAGAAGGTCTCTCCCTGCTCAAAAAAAAAAAATCATAGCTATTACTGCACTAGAGTTTACTGATTCCTGATGAGAGAGAGTCAGGACTTAACTGTGTTAATGTAATATCTTTCCTTTACCTCTTTGGAAAATCCACAAGCTAAATGTGGTGAGTTAATGGAAGTTGTTTCATTTATTGGAGTGTGATGGGAATGTGGAAGCCTGTCATCTTAGGAAAAGAAACCTTTTATGACTGAACTATAGGGCTGACAGTTCCCCGGCCCCTTTAATAACTTTCAAATTTATTAGCCAATTTCAATAAAATTGAGCAGAGGTCTACAAGACAGTGACTTTCTACCAATTTTGTGAAAATCAGGTTCTAGGAAGACAAGGGATACCTACAGAGAGAGGGTACAGAAAAGTCGACTCTTAATGACTCTTGTTTGCTCGGTAGGAATGACCAATGTACCAGTCAAAAAGCAAAATCTCAAGATGAGCCACAGCAAACTGGGTTTATTTCTCAGCTAAGGATGTGGGGGAGAGCTGGGGATACTGAGGAGGTGGAGTCCGGACATGTTACTGGAATCTGAGGTATTGTCAGGGGTTGTTTAGTGACAGAAGTGTGAGAAGTGTTATCCTCAAGTTTTTCTGCATACTTCTTTATGCAGAAGAACTTGAGGATAACACTTGAGGTGAGTGGATGTAAACCACAGAAGTTTAGGAAAAAAAAACTTCCCTGTGACAAATGTGATGAAATATATTTCTGGTTTATCATCATCTTTTGTTTATCATTTTCGCTTCAAGCCATGAGGTTTAGCTTTTATGGGTCAGTGTGAATCACATTGCTTTTATTTCCAGATTGTTTTTCAGTAAACAGTTACAGACAATATGAGAAAACAGTAATAAAAAAAATAGAGAAAACTGGAGGTATAGAAAAACTTAGGGGATTTGGTATATAATTCATGTGGATGTGTTTTTATGACAGTTTTTTTGCACTTTTAAACATTTTCTGATGTTCAGTGGCTTACAATGGGGCAAGTTTTTAATTAAGATTTCTATCTATAATATTTCCATTGTAAACTACTTTAGTTTTCAGCTTCTGTGTATAGTGTTATTAAATTTCAGAAACAATATTGTAAGTTGATGTGACCACCATTTCTAGGACTGAATAAATGAGAGGCTGCTTGTGAAATGCTGTGATGCTTTCAAATCTGCTAGAGATGTGCTGAAAATGAAAACAATAGATGCCAAAGCTTTTTTTTTCTAATGCATTTTAAGCAGCTATAATTTCAGATTGTTACTGTATATCTGGAAGAAAGGAGAAATGTGGCTTCAGATTTCAGCACCACCCAAAACGACAACAGGATAATTGTTATTATAGCTTAGCCAATGTTCAAGCCATCCAAAAAAAGTCATTATGAACAACCGTCTCTTAAGTGGTCTGTGTTCTTCAACTTTTTCCCTTACACTCATTTGTTTTATTTGATTCTCTTGATGGTCTTGTATTTTTCTCTCTGTGTGCCCATTTCTTTATCTCGTTCATATTTTCCATAGGTTTCATATCACCTCTGTCCATCTTTCCCTTTTTTGGCTGCTCCCTTCCAATAAAAATTATACTCAGTTGAAGCTTTGAATCCCTGGTACAACAAATCAAGTTTTAAGAAAATACTGAAAGCTCACCCAAGAAAAGCAAATAAATAGGCTGTAAACTGTTGTTTTGTTGGCTTGGATATATTTTGTTGTGGCATGCTAAATTCTATGAAATTTTTGTTAAGATTTCTGAAGCACAGGAGGGAACTTATCAAAAATAAGAGTGAGTGTATATGCTGTGGGAATTGTTTGTCCACTCACCTGCTTTGATCAGGGATGTGATTCTGTATATAGTTGCAAGTAATCACAGAGCTGACTTCTTGGCATCTGTGGAGGCTTCCTTCTGTGTTTCTTTGTTCTGTTAAAAAAAAAATAAAATTCAGCTTGCTCAAAATCTGTTGAAAGTAAGTGTCACAAATTAAAGTTTCCTCATGAAATGTAACTGGTTTCAAAGTAAGCCTAACTGGAACCAGGTACTGCCTTAGCTCAAAAAGAAAATCTCTTTTTACCCACACAGAGGTATCTTATTGTTAGCACATAACAACATTGCTACACTGGTAGCAACGGAGGTAATCACAAATTTTCACCCAAGAAATCAATAAAAATCTTTTAAATCAACTATTGTGTGTTAACAAATAGCCTCAGTAGCCTATTATCACCCATTGACATCTATGTTTAAGAAGAAAACACACTTTCTGAATATTTTCCTGTGAATAGCTATGTCTAGGTTCTTCCTGAAAGGTAGGCAATAAATCCTTCTAATTGGCAGTCTGCAAGCATTTGATTTCTGCATACTCAGCCCAACCCTGCCCATGGAAGGTGAATGCAAAACTATGTGCTAATGAATCAAACACACGTTCAGCTCTTCTAAAAATTTGCATAGTGGTAATGTTGGAATAAGTGATAAATTCCAAATGAGATTCAATGAGACTGAATCAGCCTTTCTGAGAATTATTTATCTGTCTTTTTCTCCTTGGAAAGTATCCTAGAGCAAACTGTTTATTCTTTTTTTTCATTACATTTGTTTGGATTTAATGCAGGAATCAGCAGGCTTGATCAGACTCAAGTTCCAGACTGGCCAATATCTTATCTTCAGCATTTACCAGTGACATATGGTTCAGAATAAGGTGAGAGAGGTCCGTAAGAGGCAGTCATAGGACTCTTTCTCCCCATTTTACAGTGGGGGTTCACTCAAGCTACAAATCACTGAGGTTAATGTTGTTACCTCTAATTATATATTCTGGGATGTTCTTCACATAAAGGTGTTCTCCACAACAATAGGACTCATGGAAATCCCTACATAAATGTAGAGATTTAGATACTGTCTTCAAGCTTGTGTAGACCCTTTTTCTGGTTGATGGAGGTAGATGGGTACTTGTAGGATGCAGTTTATCCCGCTTTAAGGCAGACATCCAAAAGACCTGCCTGATGTCTAGGGACAGACATTCAGTGAACTGTGTCTTAGATATGTCCACTTCTTTCTACTGATTGCAAAAGGAACCTGGAAAACTAGCTCAGAGGTAGACAGCTACAGTTATGTAAGACTAGTCTTGTTCATGTTGTATTGGCAGCTTGAAATATGTAGGTGGGAAATATCAGAGGTGAGGCATGGTGTTGTTTCTTTCTACCTTAAACCATATTTTATCCTGTACAGGTCTTATGAAATGCTGTTAGGTCAAGAGTCAGTTGAAGCAACATGGTAAGATCATGGAAGATCTCCAGGGTTTGGTGCAATGGCACAATAACAGTGGGTATTGATATGTGGAAAAAGGCCCAGCTCTTGATGAACACAGAACTGCAGCTTCTCCTATTAGTAGGTTCAGTATCTGCTCTGTGTGGATGCCAAACAAAAATAAAGCAAAAGAGATATGAGAGGCAGAACACAAAGCATGAAAGATCATGAAAGTGTGCTGAGGAAAACAGGTACCTAGCTATCAGTGAGGAGGAGAGATATCTAAAGACAATGGAAAAAGCAGTGCCTGGAGATGAACACCAAGAAATAAAGCTCAAACATAGCAAATGCACAGGTCTGTGTGGAAAGACAAGCTGGGTTTCTGATGAGGAGAGAAATGTCTGTCTTCTTTATGCAATATATATAGCTTAGCCTCTTATCACACCCTTCCATCCCCTTCTTTGGAGGGGAATTCTTCAATGGCAAGTTACCAGACTACAGCTGGCTTCTAGGACTGGAAGACTCACACTTCCACATGCTCAGGATTGAAGAGAAGGTTATTCCTCTCCTTTCCCTTATTTCTTCTGTTTCAGAGCTTGCATGTGACTGCAAAGAATGTATTTATATGGTTCTTTCAATGCTTTTCCGATTTTACTTACTAGCTTTATTTAAAATCCGTGTTCTGAAAACTTGGAATGAGAATCCACTCTGATACATATACATTTAAAATAGTCTTAGGAGTCTTTTTTTTTTTTTTTTTTTTTTTTTTTTTTTTCTTTTCTTGCTTTGAAAGATGCTGTCAACATGCAGTTATTGCAAAAGAAAAAGAAAAAAGATACCTCAGACTTTGTACAGAGAAAGACTTGCTAGATACTTTATGTAATGCTTCATCTCTGCCTGTATATGCAGAATTCAACAAACTTTAAGAAGCTGCATTTTGGTATCATTTTTTAATGGGACGTGTCCAAATAAGAAGATAATTTATCCTTTCAATATGTCTCTTCTCTCTCATGTATTTTCCATTTTGGTTTAGTTTTCCATTCATCATGTGGCACTGGTGCACATTGTATTAGGATATTTGATCAAACTGTCAAAAAGCTGACAGGTTGGGGTTTTTTTCCCCCTAAGGATATGCATTTTTGAAATAGTAATTAATTCAACCAACTAGAAGGAAGTAATTAGTGGCTTATTTTCTTGTGCTTGGTGCAGGTTTTAATATGAAGTATTTTTAGAAGGTTGCAGTTTTAACACCTAAAAAGCCCTTAATTTGGGGTACCTTGGTTACACAAGAGGAATGCCTGATCTTAGGAAATATATTAACACACGTGATGCTGGACACGATTTTGGAGTGGGAAATATTTAAGTGCCTAGTGACCTTGTGGAGTATTGATGGTTGTCTGCATTGTTTTTTTTTTTAACTACTTAAGACTTCATGTTTCACAATTACAGCCAGCCACTATGACTATGTGTAGGACTAGTATGTTCCATTCCTTAAGTTCTACGTGCTTTAAGTAATACAAATGCTCCTTTAGATAAGCTAAAGATACATGAAAAGAGAAGCTGGTACGGTCTTATATACATAGCAGAAGCTTGCTTAAGATTTCTAGCTATTCCAGTAGAATGAGTGAAAGTTACGACACTATCTGTAGAGTTTGCATTGTTCATCATTTATTTATTTATTCAAATAACACACGATAAACGCTATAAAAATGTTTTCTGAAGTGATACACCCTGCTCACTTGGTGCTTTTTAGAAACTTCTATCACCTGGACAGCAGCTCTGTTTCTAGTGCTTTAGTAAATGTGGTGCTGCAACTCTCTTCCTGTACTGATGAGATGTGTTTGCAGAAGGGACACCTTATTTGTCTTCCATTTCCTTTCTGCGTGTGTTTATACATGGCATCAAGGTGTCTTTCTGGAACAATTGTTTGCAGGAAGTGACTGTCAAAGCTGAATGCTATATGTTTGCAGAAACAGAACTTCCTAAACGTCTGATTATTGTTAGGAGTTGCCACTTACAGCTTATGTTGTTTAATAAAACAATTTTGAAAAAATATTCCTAGACTTCAGTTTTTCTGTTATCAATATTTTCAGTAGACTCTGATCATGAGATATTAATGTAGGAAGTATCATCCATTTATCAGATAAGGTATTCCTTCAAAACAGACTCTTCTTTTACCTCTCCAGTAACAGAATATCTAGTCTGAGGGATGGAATATTAAGGTAACTGTCAGTAAATATTAAAAACAGTAATGCTAAATAAATCAGTTAATTTTGGATACAGAATTAATGATAAGAAAACAGAAGTGTTTGGGAAAGGAAAAAGAAGCAATATTAATCAGGAAAATATATTTGTTCAGACTTAGCTGCAGTATTTGCTCCTGATAATTGTGTTGTCTTTCAACATTAAAATCCAGTATTGTTTCAAGTTGAAGCATGCACTCGCTAAGGAAAAAAATATCTTTGTTCAGTTGTGTTGACTTAACATTATATCTTTTCTATAGCATATGCAGCCTAAGCTGACCCTTGAAAAGCTGCAGAGAAACAGTAACAGTGAAATGTTCAGACTGAGCATTGATATTTTGAGTGAAATGACCAATATTTTTTTGTGATCTTGCTGCACTATTATTGTGATGAGCAAGAATGCTTTGGCTAATACTCTGAAAACAACAGCAATAGAGAAAAAGTGGAAAAGGTAAATTGTCTTTAGACTGTTCTATTAAAGAATGGTCCAGTTCTTCACAGTGAGGATAAGGCAGGGTTAGGTGGGTAAAATTTAACTAATCAGTGAGCACAAAGCTGGGAAAATTGTTCTCTGTGTCATGTCTGAACTTTGAAAATATGTTGTGATCTATTATAGATCAACTGAAGAACCTGGAAAGCAACAGAGCAACCTGTGAAGACAGTCTGTTATGATCCCAGACCACAAGGAAATCAGGTAAGCGCAGTGGAAAAATCACTGGACTCTCTTTTAAGAACTTTTTTTTTTTTTTTTTTTAACAAGCTTGCAGATTAATGTAAAGTTAAGATGGCCCACAAAACATTAGCAGCTGTTTATCAACTCATTACTGTTACTGTACAATTGAATCAAAGGGGAGAGTCAGAATGTGACTGATAAATGATGAGATAATAGAATCAAAAGCAAAATGTTTTACTATGAAAGGACTGGAAATCTGTGCACCGGAGGGTAATGCTGACAGGGCAATGCACAAATATAGCAAATATACGTACATGGCATGAACTGGACCCACAATGATTTTAAAGATGGGCTTGAAAGTGTGAAAAGCTATGCATGAAGTCATTGACTGACTTGAAATAAGGGCTAGTGAAATGAGAGAGGACAATGCCAGGCAGGAGAATGACTAATGCTGCAGAAAGACCTGATTAAATGTGTCTAGGAAAGGAGCTGAGGTTTGGATTCAAGCTGGATCCATTGTCAAATTGTTTAAATAATACAATAAATAAACAGAGGATACAGATCTTCCTGTCTGCCCTGAAACCTTTCTGGGGAGTAGGTCTTCCATTCTGATCTACAACTTGCTTAATACAGTTGCATCAGAAGATACGCTGTTTCCAGAGGTCATATCAATGATGCATCTAACCCTGTTTTACAACTCAGCTGCAATGTCTTTGGTTTGGTTTCAATGCATCTGGTAGCAATGAAAAATAGTTGATCAATTCTCTGCT